GGTTTCTGTGGGGGAAGATGGGCTTGTGGGCTTGATGTGTTTAGAAAGCCTTTCCCACCACCTGAGCACAGTGGGTTCACAGTTTCTCTTTAGAGAAAAGATTTCCTTATCCCTCTTAAGTGATTAGCATCTTTTGGAAAGAGGAGCATATAGTGAAGGAGCCCGCAGGACTGGAAAAGGAAGGGCCCTCACAGTCCCCTCAGCTCTGGGGAGACTTTCCCTCAGGAGAGCCTGGGCACTCATGGCTGCCTCACAGGTAAAGCCTTCCGCTTTTGGTGTGGTGTAGTACCTCTCAACTGGGTAACTTAGGTATGAGCGGGTAATGGTCAACTAGACAGTGTGGAGATCAGGAAACAGAAGAGGGTTTCCAGAGCACACGGCTCGGTCTGCCAACAACTGGTCCCCAAATCCTGAGTGAGCACACAGAAAGGAATGTCTTCTGTAACTCCGCCCCCCACCCCACCCCACCCCTAAACAGACACCACCACAGGAGCTGGTCAGCGCGCCCAGCGTGCGCTTGGGAAATCCTGACAAACAAGTGCGGCTCAGTAAAGCTATAAATGGATGCGGCTGGTTAACGCAGCCCCAGTGAATACAGTAGTAAAACACTAATGTGGTCACAACGACAAAATGACAGACTCTATCACCACTCCGACGTAAGATTTAAATCACAGACAGGTTCGCACAGAAAACCAACGCACAAGTAGAGGGTCAGGCTACTCAATGCAGAGCGTGTGCGACTGTGCACAAAGTCATTAATAAGAGAACTTATTGCCTAAGAATCTGTTGAGACTCACTGGGGAAAAAAAATCCTCTGGTGGTTCTCTGACAGCAACAAAAAGAGAAAAAGCAATTTTAAAAGGCAGAGCCACAGCTGCACGGGAAGACTGCTTCTACCCGAACTGTGTTTGAGACCAGAGAGAGAAGGACTTGATACTCACATTGTTTAGGACGGGGGCAGGGGCTCATTTGTGGAAAAAGGGATTATTCCCACTGCGTGGGCAGAGAGAGTGGCTGGTCACCGGAATAAGCAGCTAACCAAAAAGCGGGGCTGCAAGACAGGAAGGAGTGTTTGTGCGACAAGATGGACCACACCCCCTACTCTGCCTGCTGCAGAAGATGAGAAAATTCCAGCAGGAAGTCAGCTCAAGAGGAGGCCTCGGTTTGGAGCCCAAAGAGAAGAGGAGTTAACCACAGACAGAAAGGAGGTGCCTGTAGATTTCTGATGAAACGAAAGACGGTTTCCTTATACCTGGTAGTTGAAATTCAAGAGGGAAGTTTGTACAAAGGCCAAATAGGGAGAATTGAAACAACTCTGTCACCAGCTCTTCATGAGCTGTCCCTTTTGACGTAAAGATATACCTGGACATCTGGATAGAGGAGCTGCTGGTCACAGACTGCGGCAGCCCTATAGGCCTGGGTGTGGACCCTCCCATCTCCTCGACTAGACTTGAGTGGTCTTCCTGTGAAGGACAGTGGGGATGTGGGGGAAGACCCAACCCTGCCAAAGGCTGGAGTGTGGGAACTGTACAGACCCGAAAGGTGGGGGAAGCGAACCATACTCCTCTAACACTCAAAGGACCGAGATTATGAAGAAAACTGCCTTAAGCTTTACTCCAATCTTACAAACTCTTCTGAAATAAACCGCACTGTTTACTTGGTACCGGCTGGCCTTCATCTGGTGTTAAGGTTCTCATTTAATGCAAAAATGGCATTAGGATGGTCCATCTTTAAAAGGTCCCCCTGTAAGGATCTGTTTTAAGAAGCGGAGGAAGTTTACCCATGTGACTGCAGTAATTCAATGAAAGTGTCTTAAACAAAATAAGTTACCTGGAACTGCTTGCAAGGGTTCCTCACCTGGGAAGCAGCAGCCCCTGAAACAGTCCTCTGGGGCCTGAAAAATGTACAGCAGCAAGTGAGAAAACAGGACAGAAAAACCAAAAAACATACAGTGGGATTTTTTTTAAGAGTCTATCTTCCCTTCAGAGAGCAACTTAGGGTTTCTATTTTAATACCACCCCTTAAACCTGAAAAAGCTGAAGAAAAAAAATTTACTCTCCAAAGATATGACTCATTAGTGGCCAACTCCACATGCCATGGCAAGAACTAAGGTAGCCTGGAGAAGACAGCAGAGTTAAACCTGATGACAAAATACCTACAGAAGATTTAAACTGAAGACCCAAAGAACTAAATTTTCACTCTTGGTGAGAAAGCCAAAGTTAAACATAAGGCAGTGGCAGTCAGAGCAGACTGGCAGTTGTCTTTAATGAAAGCGGTGAAGGCTCCTTCCTCTGGCTCCTACTGAACCCAAGGCGCTGCTACCCTGCCCGGGCAAACTCATTCTTTCACTTTTTCCAGATCTCTGGGTAGCACTTGGTACTGCCTTCACAGGTACTCACCTTTACTCTCTGAAGCTTTTTGTTCTTCCTGAAAGGTCTTAAAACATTGAAACCTTTTGGCTCTTCTCTGGCAATCACTCTGTTTCTTTAGAAACTGCAGCTGCCTTTATAGTTTGAGTCTGTTTCTTTAAAAGGAACCAGCAAGAACAGATGATACTAGCAATCCCATCATAAAGAAGCTATCAATTATAATAATCTCCTTACAATAAATCATGGATGCAGCTTGTCAGACAGTATATTTTTCTCTCTCCTTTTCTTTCTGATTTAGCTGAAAGTAAGTAGACAAAAATTCTAGGAACAATGATACGTTATATTTTTTCTAAATAATATCAAAGGAAAGAAAGCTAACACAGTCTAATTGCAATAAAAAGTCAAACACACCAAGAAAGAAGATGAATGGGGGGGAGGGCGGGTCATTCCTGAGAACAACAAATGCTACTCTTGAATTTGTTGGTTCAAGTAATACAGTGAAACAGAAAAAGACTACTCCATTTTACTTCAATTCTGGGAAGCTGGAAAAAAATATATACATTTTCCCCCTGAAATCCTAGGACAAGAGCAGGTCCTGCCTGTAGCTCTATGACGTCACGGACCCACAGAGGCAGCACCTCCATGCCTCCGAAAGGCCTCCTCACACTCACGTAAGCAGGAGGGACAGAGGCCGAGGCGAGCGCATCAGCAGGTGCCTTAGGTGGAGCAAGACCAGCTAGAAGCTGGCGGATATTCAGAATCTCACTGATGAGGAAGGGAAAACAGGAAGGCCAGTCATTCTCTCTCTCTCAATGGTTTGAAGTTGAAAACATTTGGTGGGTGAGGAAGGGTGCAGAGGTCAGGAAGTAGCCCCCTCCTTCGATCTTAGAAATCATTTTCAGGTAATGGACAGACAGACAGAACCCTGCTTAAGAGCCAGCCCTCTCCACATTCCCCTTTAAACAACGTTTTGTCGCACGCAGAGAGGTGCAGCGAGGCAGGAAGTACAGAGCGGTCGTGCCTCTTTCAGACGCACCCTACACTGGAGGCTGTTCCTCTCACGCACCGTGACACTGTGTCCTTTAATCAGGATGCCCAGAGATCATTTTCATACGAGGCCAGCAGATGTAATATTCTCGGATGCATGAGTAGTTCATCATTTTGCTACTGGATGACAAGGTGATCACAGGGTGACTTTTCTAACGCAAGTTCACTGTTTGGTATTTTGAGTTCTCAAAATGAAAAAAAGATTTATCAAATATAAATATCTTTAAAAAGTAACAAAAGTGCTACATATGTGATCAAGGAAAAAAATTCCATTAGTTACTGCCGTTTAAAGTAGATTAAACTTTACAAATATTACCACATCCATTATCAATATGGCTTCCAATTATTAAATAAATTGCCTGTAGCAATATAGCTTTTCACACCTCTACAAGGACAGAGTAAAGAGAACACCAAAGCAAGTCACATCTCGCAGACCCGCCACAGAAGTGGCAAACGTCCCCTGCTTTTTTCTGCTCCTACTTAGGAAAGCTCTTGCGTGTGACAGCCAGAAGGCATAATCCCACCACAGAGTCCTCTACCAACCTCTCACGTTGAGGGGGCTTCAGCCTAATGGCTACAGGGACTGGAAGTTCGTTCACTCACTTTTGGCCTTAGTTCCATCCTCGAATCACCTTTTTGTTTTTTTGGTAGCAAGGAAAGGGGACACAGACAGGAGGCAGAGCCGCTTCCACGATGACTTCCAGCACCTTTCCAGGTGGGCACGTACCTGTGCCACGTACTGTATAGTGGTTCTAATAACATCCACCATTATTACACATTCGGCTCATGGTTTTTCCCAATGCTCTCAAGCTGGGTTTTGTGGGTTTTTTAACTTTTTTTTTTTTTGTCATTTTTCTGTTTAATCATGGTCCCAAAGGCAGAAGGCAGTATTTTATCTACTCAGTCACACAGCTTGTGAGAGGAAAGGATGTCTGTGTCAGGCATCTTAACATCAACTGAAATCTGAGATCGAGTTTTTCCACTGACATTCTTAGCACAGCACCCAAAGAAGTATAATCTAGCCACAGTGTGACTATTATGAGGCACGGCTTATTGCAGCTGGAAATCAATTATTCCCACATGGAGGTGGGGGTTCTAGTGTTCCTTTTACTCTGCGGACACTCCCCAAATGGTGTCTGTCAATCCTGGCCACACTACCTCAGCTTGCATCCTACCAGTCTTGGGGAAGGAAGAGGGGTGGAGACTAGTGTTACAGGAATCTAAAGGTACCCAAGGTTTTACACGGAGCCTACTATTTGAGAACTGAGGGCTAGCTAAATACCTGGAAGCACTTTCTTGGAATGCTAAGACAGAGCAGCAAGATTTTCTAGCCTCGGGGGCTGGGAGAGGGAAGTTTGGTTGGTTGGTTGGTTGGTTGGTTATTAGTTACTGGGAATTAATACTGAGAGAGTATATGCAAAGGCTGAGGGCACCATGCCATCTTCACAGAACAAGACCCTAAGGGCTAACTGACATACAAGAAACTGCAAGTTATACTGTAAGAACACATGTTAAGGACCGAGGAAAGTCTGCTAAGGTGCTACGTCTAAACTAAGTTAACTTCTCGCGTTCAGCCCTCCCTCATCAGTCGTCATCCAGGGCCTCTGTCTTGATTTCGTTGGCTCCTTGTCGGGCCAGTGCCAAGATAGTGTGGTTGACCGCTGCCATTTCCACAGCTAACGAGATGGGGTCTTGGTGGTCACTATGGCTAGTGCTGTCATCCTAGACGTGTAGAAAGAAGAAGCAGGTGTTACAGGGGGACTGGTGAGATCCTCCAGCTTACAGAAAAGCATGCTGGGGCAAGGGGAAGCAGAACACTTGTGAGAGGGGTCATGACAGGGTAGAGGTGAAATGTATTTAAGTAGACACTGAATGGATACAGGTCCAGAGACTACTGGTTGGCATTTTGATGGTTCAACAGATAAAAAGCACTAAAGTGGCTTTTTTTTTGTTGAGAAATTTTCCTTCTGCCAGAAAGACTGCTGGGGATGATCAAACCTGGACCATTCCAGGTGTGCAACCACTACAGCACTAGTAATTGAGGGCCACACTAGTGAGCTTACATTCTGGATGGGTGCTCTTAGAGATTATTACAATGCACAGTATCTCTCTGCTCAGTTGAGAAAACCAGACAAAGCTACAGATATCAACACCTTATGGATAAAAATAAAATGCATTTTAGTAGAAAATAAACCAAAACTCTCCTAAAACTCCAAACTCTCAGTTACAACAGGAGAGAACTGTGGGAAGTGGCTACGCACTCTCTGGCTCTAAGGCAAGCCGGGGGAGGGAAGCGCAGGAGTCTCACTTGGAAGGTGTGAAGCCTCCCCTGGAAGCTGCACGGCAGGGTGTTCGTCAGGCACCGAAGCTGGTGTTACAGATAAGGTGTAAGCTTCTCACCTGTCATCTTCAGGGGACTCTACAGCAGGAAGCTTTGGGAAGGGTAAGCCCCTTCCTGGGAAAAAGCACGGTGTGTGCTGCCCTTAGGGCCTCTGGAAAAAGGATGGAAATGATGCATCTACACTGGTAAACTAACAAGGATGCTTCTCTAGAGTGAAACATGCAGCTCTGACTTGGGGTCCACGGGGAAGGGAAGCCTTGGGAAGTGCAGGCAGCAGTGCTCATTCTCACAGGCTGGTCTTTGGTTTAAACAGGGATCAGCATGGGACTGCAGGGACTCTGGCAGTGTCTACACTCAAGCTGCAAGACGGTGAGCAGGAGGAGAGCGTGGTGGGCCCTTGTTTACAAGCTGGCTGAGTGGCGTACACTGACTAGGAAAGAGCAAACGTGTTCCCGCTGGCACCTACAAGAGACCACTCTTCATATTCCAAATGGAGTGAGTTTAAAATCCTTTAAAAAAAAATTAAATCTTTAAAGTGGGGAAAAACTCCCACATTCCTAGTTACTGAATTATTCCATCCAGTGGCTACAGTTAAATATATTTTCCCCCTTAAGCAATGAAGAGGAAGTCAGGGTGAGGTGAGCAGACATGCGTTTATGAGAGGATGTGTGTGTGTCCATGTGCCAGAGACTCTGCAGGGACCACGGTCTCAGCACAAGGGCTCCCACAGCACGGGGCTGAAGCGGGTGAGCCCTTCCACTCTGTGTGGGTGGGTTCACGTCCAGGCAGGGCCGCGGCTGCCCGGAGCCCCTAGCATCTCTCAGACATTGAGTGTGTGTGTGGTGGATGGTGGAACTTGCTTGTTTGGATCAGATCCTCCTCTCTTCTTCTACCTTCTCTGCTTCTCTGCCTCCCTCTGAACTTCTTCCCTCCTCCTCCTCCCCATTGCGTACTTGCCAAGTATCCTGTTGTATGACAATAAATCCGTGTGGGTGAATAAGGATTTCTCACAAATTCAACAGGACAACTGAATCTTAACCACATTCCTTTCAAGTTATATGAAAATCTGACTAGACACATGAGCAGAGCTGGAGGGACATTAGCTCGCCCCCACCCCCCCACCCCGGACAAAGCGCACCCACAGAATTGAGTTGTCCTTCAACCCCACCCGCTCTGTACCCAGCAGCGCCTGCTCCGCGGCTCACCTGCTCCGAGTAGTCGTTCCCGTCCACGTCATCACTGTTGGAGTGGCCTCCCGGACTCTGTACATCTATCCCATGACTCTCCAGGATTGCTGCTTCTTCGAAAAAAGCAAACAGATCCCTAAATTATCTGTTACCATACCATAAAGGTCTGAACACTGAATTTGTATTGAGGAAATGAGAATGCAATTAAACAAAACCCTAGACTAAGTCCTGTTTCTTCTCAGTTGCAGACAGATGGAATTCAGTGGCACAGAGGTCGGGGGAGCAACACTATGTTTGCCTTTCTGGAGCCCCTGCTGCTTCGTGTGTACCTCTGAGTGGCTGACTGGTAGGTGCTTCATACTTACCAACTAATTAAACGGCTCTCCTGACTTGGGGTTCTATAAAGCATTTGAGGACTGTCATGACGAAGAAGTAAGTTTATAAGTGAAATACAATTTTAAAAGCTCAAAACCAGCCCACCATCCTGATCTCATCGATTCATGTTTCTTAAATGCTTTTTTCAGTCTCACTTTTTACTAGGTTCCCTGTATATCAAGACGCTTTTATTCCAATTCTATTAATCAGACGTTTCTCAGCCTCTGGGTCATAGCCTGGTAACAATGAAAAGGCTTAGGGTGTCTCAAGGCCTTATAGGTAGCTTTCATCTGCACCACAGGAGTAACTGACCAGAGATGTCTAATTCCAGATTATTGCACATTAAGAATGATAAGGTTTAGAACTAATAATGTCATTCTTAGTACAATACAAATAGTATGATTAATATTAACTTTACATTATTAAAAATATAGTGAAGAAAAACATAAGGGCAATTCTTCTTAGGCTTAAAGGGTAGGCTCATTTAGACCTGCAGTTCTAAACTGAAGTCACTCTTAAACACAAGGCCCAGGACTGCCTCCAAAGAGACAGCAGCCTCTCGGATACATTACCGATATTGGCTCGTCTCTTGATCTCCTTCCGCCTGTTAGCAAACCAATTATATACTTTCAGGGAGGTAACTCGTTCCAGATCTGACAGTTTTTTGCCTGTGAAGACATGCAGTAAAATTCAGAAAATCTCTGAGGCTAGTTTTAAGGGACAATACTTTTTTTTTCCAAATGTTTTTCTCACTGCATTTATTGCCAGAATAACAGATACAGAATTTTCTTTTAGCATGATCTAGCACTATATATAGACTTAATTACTGAATGGATAAACATATGGTGGTGGTGGTTTAGCGGCTAAGTCGTATCTGACCTTTGCGACCCCATGGACTGTAGCCTGCCAGGTTCCTCTGTCCATGGGGTTCTCCAGGCAAGAATACTGAAGTGAGTTGCCATTTCCTTCTCCAGAATAAACATATAGTGGTAAAGAACCCGCCTGCCAATGCAGGAGACAAGAGACATGGGTTCAGTTCCTGGGTTGGGAAGATCCCCAGGAAGAGGGCATGGCAACCCACTCTAGTATTCTTGCCTGGAAAATACCATGGACAGAGGAGCCTGGTGGGCTGTATAGTCCATAGGGTCACAGAGAGTCAGACATGACTGAAGCAACTTAAGATAGGATGGAAAAATAAACATACAAACAGCCCTAATAACACAAAATGCTTCAATTCAGAAAGCCACACAATATTAAGGAATTCCACTATAAAATATTGAAGAATTCAGTCTGCTAGGGTTCAAAGTTCACATGACAGTACTATGAAAGCTTCATTTAATTAGCATCATTTACTTAGATGAATATATTATTCTTTATCACATTCCCAGATAGCTGAAGTTTCCTTACATCTTTAAGGCCTTGTATTAACTAGTTTTCTGCTGTCCTAAGACAGAGACCACTATCCACATCTTCTTAAAGACTAAGGTCACTATGTCCCTCTGTTATTGTAACTACACAGGAACACACAGCACAATTCAAGTTGCAAACTGCTGTCAAATGTGACGGTTTACAGATAGCACCATGTTTAGCAACATGGCAACCACCCTTCTCCTTCATTGTTTTCTGTTTTAGCTTTTAACTCTCAGTGGGCAGAGGGACCAGAAAACAGATCAGGCACTTGATGCACGGGGCTTAAGTACTTTCCAGGAAGAGTCTGAGTTCCACCCAGCACAGCGTTAGGGCTGGGGCTTTGGCCTGGGAGAAGTAAGGGTACCGATGTCATTGTAGATGACTATGTATGTTCTGGACAGTTAGAAGTCTGGCTTCTGACTATGGGAGAATAAATTAGTATTTAATTATCACAAAAGAGTGATAAAACTTAAAACATAAAAAAGTGATACTTTTGTATGTACCCTTTAAGCCAATCCAGTTAACTGGCCAAATGGAGATCAATTGGATCTTCTTCACTGAAAATGGTTTCTGGCTTAAAAAAAAACCACCACCACCATAATCTGTGGAAGAACATTTTAGCACATGACGTATGAGTGTTTCAGGGGCTCTGCTGACTTGTACAGGGACAACTGGACTTCAGAATGGAAATACTCCGAGTTAAGAAGTCATCCCAATGTAGAAATGGGAAAGAAGTCTGCTCCAAAAAGAATTCTTTCGTTAAACAGGAATACAGAATTATACAATTTTCAACAGTTACAAAACAAAACTATCTTAATGTTTATATTAACAAGTCTTGTTTAAGTATGCCAACTTTAAAACTATTCTGAAACTGGTATGTTTATGCTGTATTTTTGGAAAAAGAAATCTATACAGTCGTTAAAATTAGTAATTTCAAGGTTGCATATCTCAAGCAAGGATACTCACTGGAACTTTCCCACATGAAGCCTAATTTGGAGTAGTGTAATCACCCCCTCAGAAGTACAGTGTGAACAAGATAGGGCAATGACCATCCACAGGAGGATGGTGGGAATGGAGCCAAGAGCACCCGCCGGGATGAGGAAGAGACCGAGGTCCCAAATGCTGGTCTGAGCACAGCCCAGAGCCAAGCACGCTCGCTGCCTTACCTGGCTTCTGTATCACTGCGTTGCAAGCATTTGCAATTTCTTCTCTCTTTGCTTCATCTGGGTATTGATTCTCATTGAAGTAACTGCAGAGGCAATCAGTTAAGACACAAAGTTTGTACTTTTAGAAATGTGCTCTCCTTAACACACAAGCTCAGTGAAAAAGATGTCCTTTTCTAGGATGTAACATTAATGTCTAGTCCAGGCTGTCTGATGGCATTTTCTATGAGGATAGAAACAGTCTTTCTGGTCCAAAGGGGCAGCCACTACTCACATGTGGCTACTGAGCACCTGAAATGATGCTGATGTGGAAGAAGTGAATTTTTGATTTTAGTAAATTTAAAAAAAATAATTTTATATATTTATGATTTGGCTGCCTGGGTCTTAGTTGTGGCACATGGGATCTAGTTCCCTGACCAGGGACTGAACCCTGGCCCCCTTCATTGGGAGCTTGGAGTCTTAGCCACTGGACCACCAGGGAAGTCCCTGATTTTAGTAAATTTAAACAGTTACATGTGACTGGTGGCTACTATATTGGATAGGACAGGTTTAGCCACTGCTAGGCTTTGATAAAAGGTGTACTGGATATAAAAGTTACTTGTGATATGGGTGGCTGACTGAAATCACAGACTTCCGTTATTGAGGCACTGGTAACAACAGGACTCTTTTTGTATGTCTTGTTGTTTGTAGTAGCAAAACGTGGAAATTACCCAATTGTCCATCAATAGGAGAATGATAGCACAAATTATGAGACATCTATATTGATACACAGCTATTTAAAAAGGACTAGAAAAACTATTCATTGGCTTGGGGAGATGTTCTTGACATGGTCCTAAATGGGAAAAAAAAAAAAACCAATCTGTAGAATAATGTGCATGTAAAAGTACTGTTAAGAAATTTTTAAGATTCCTGTCTGACTTAGAGAATGAACTTACGGTTGCCAGGGGCAAAGAATGGGGGAAGGGATGGTTGGGGAGTCTGGGATGGACACGCACACACTGCTGGTTTTAAATGGACACCAGCGCGGGCCTACTGTACAGCACAAGGGACTCGGTTCAGTGTTACGTGGCAGCCGGGACGGCAGGGGAGTCTGGGGGAGGATGGCTACATGTGTGTGTACATACATACATACATACATACATACATATATGGCCGAGTCCCTTTGCTGTGTACCTGTAACTATCACAACATTGTTAATCTGCTACACTCCAATATAAAATAAAAATTTAAAAGAGAAAAAAAATTCCTGTGTATGTGTACTTAAATCTGCATGGATAAAGGGTGGGGGGGAGGGGACATAGGCATGCTTATGGCTGATTTGAGTTGCTGTAAGGCAGAAATCAACACAACATTGTAAGGCAATTATCCATCCTCCAATTAAAAAAAACCCTAAGTGACTAAGTATCAGAATATTGATATATTTATCCTCTAATAAAATGTCCTCATAAAAAATCTGCATGGATAAAAGCTGGAAGGGTACACATCAAGGTTGATTACCTTATCATGGGGAAAGGGATAAGCAGGAGGAAACGGAAACATTTTAAGATTTATCTTTGCCTTTTCCCACACGTTACAATGCATATATTACTTCTGTACAACAGTACTTAAAGAAAGTAGGTTACTGAGCCCACCCTTAGTGTTGTCAGGCCTGTGAGACTCTGTGTGGAAACAGAATGCTTATCAGTACTACTTGTTCTGTCACCTGTGAGTTTTCAAAAGGAAAACAGAGTTTCTGTGCTTTGAACCTGGAAACGCAAGATCAGGAAATGATTCCCTGTCACATCGTAGCTCCGTAGCTCCTCTCACGCCCTTGGGAGCCTTCCCTCCCCCAGAACACAGCTCTCCCCGCCCTCATCCTGTCTGCACCGGTGACAGTGCCACTCTGCTGGGAGGCCCCCGACCTCCCTGGAACCGTGCCTTCTGCAGTGTAGCTCCTCTCCCCCGCACCCTCTCCATGTGGGGAGCATCCTTTGCCGGAGTCCCGACACAGCAGCTGCCATCACCGAACAGCCTTTCCTTTCCTATAGTGTAAGCGACAGAACTCTATCAATCCAGTCATGCAACCACCACCCCACACAGAGGTCTCCTGCTTTAGTTCAGGATTTACACAGCTCTTTCCACATGATTTTCTGTTATCATTTTTAGAGCTTCAGACTGAGGATTTTTCCAAGTCACTGCTCCACTTCCACATTCCTACTGACTTTGTCTTAACTCCACCTCTGCTATTTATTTGGGCAAAGACTCTGGATTAGTTTCCATTAACCAGCAGCACAGGCATTACCCAGGGGCTTGTTAGAAAAGAAGAATCCCAGACTTTGCCTCAGACTAAATGAGAATCTGAATTTTAACAAGATCTCCAGGTAATCTGACTGCACATTAATGTTTGAAAAGCACAGGATCAGTGCATTCATTTAAAATTTATCAACAAAGACAACAAAAGCAGATACTAAGTATCTAATGTTATATGCATCCACTGTGGGTCAAGAAGAGAATTAGATAGTTTCTGACTGCAAGGAGTTTATAATCTACTGAAAGTGAAGTGAAAGTGTTAGTTGCTCAAGTCAAAGTGTTAGTTGCTCAGTCGTGTCCAACTCTTAGCGACCCACCAGGCTCCTCTGTCCATGAAATTCTCCAGGCAAGAATACTGGAGTGGTAGCCATTTGCACCTCCAGGGGATCTTCCTGACCCAGAGATTGAACCTGGGTCTCTGGCACTACAGGCAGATTTTTTACCATCTGAGCCACCAGGGAAGCCCATGATCTACTGAAGAGACACATAAATCGCTACTCTTGATAAGATTCCATAGGCTGTCTGAACAGAGGGCGGGCGGGGGGCGGGGCGGAGGTGGGGGGGGTGCACAGAGGAAAGTGTGCTCAATGTTGCCATGAGACTGGGCAGAGGAAGTGCTGTCTGAGTTACGTCTTGAAGACAAGATAGGAGTTTGCAAACAAAGAAGGAAGAACTTGTCATGAAAAGGAAAAAGCATGAGCAAAGGCAAAAGGTAGATTAAAGTCTTTATGATTCTGGGTACGGAGAAGAGTTCAGTGTGGTTAGAATACAGGGTTCACAAGAAAAAATGAGAGATGCTAGTCTGAAGGAGTAGGATCGGACCACCTTGTGATGTTCCATATGCAATGAAGATTTCATCTTGAAACAGGTTTTATAACCCACACAGAGATACACTCCCAGCTGCGTTTTAGAAAGACAGTACATCTTCAAGGCTCAAGATGACTTAAAGACTTAGAACTCCACATCTAAATCTGAAATTCTGAAACTCCCTAGCCAGCTTTCTACTCACCTACTCCACCTCTTCAAATTTCTTCTTCTTTATACTAATCTCAAATCCTTTAAAACCCTCCCCCAACTTAAAAAACCTGTTCATCTATCACTCTTCTTTTGACCTCATCTTGCTTCTCACCCTGAATTCCATGGCAAGCTGAATCAACAGTACTCTTAGAAGATACCATATGATTCAGGAATCCCACTCCTGGGCATACATCCAGACGATAATTCAATGCAACTCTATGTTCACAGTAGCACTAGTCACAATAGCGAAGACAAAGAAGCAACTTAAATGTTCATCGACAGACAACTAGATAAAGAAGATATGGCACATGTATACCTTTCACAACCAGTCATAAGAAAAAAAGAAAACAATGGCATTTGCAGCAACATGCGTGCAACTAGAGATTATCGCACAAGTGAAAGTGAAGTCGCTCAGTCGTGTCTGACTGTGACCCCATGGCCTGCAGCCCGCCAGGCTCCTCCATCCATGGGCTTTTCTAGGCAAGAGTACTGGAGTGGGGTGCCATTGCCTTCTCCAGGGGATCTTCCCCACCCAGGGATCAAACCTGGGTCTGCTGCACTGCAGGCAGACTCTACCATCTGAGCCACAAGGGAAGCCAAACTGAAGTAAGTCAAAAAGAGACAAATACCATACAATATCACTTAAATGTGGAATCTAAAATATGACACAAATAAACCTGTCTATGAAACAGAAACAGAATCAGGGACACAGAGAATAAACTAGTGGTTGCCAAAGGGTTAGGGGGTGAAAGAGGCTAGGAGTGGGAGTTAGCAGAAGCAAACTGGGGGATTAGCAGAAGCAAACTGGTGTGTATAGAATGGAGAAACGACAAGGTCCTACTGTACAGCACAGGACACTATATTCAATATCCTATAATAAACCATAATGAGAAAGAATGTGAAAGAGAATGTGTGTATATGTGTGTGTATATATATATTGTATGTGTGTGTATAACTCAGTCACTTTGTTGTACAGCAGTAGTTAACACTGTAATTCAACTATACTTCAATAGAAGAAAAAAACAAACAGAACACAGTATCTCTTAGGAGAAATTCTGATTACTCAGCTATCCTCTCCTTCCACCATACCTGTCCTGCCAATCTATCACCCTGCAGAAAGCACCTTCCACTTTTTTCTTCCATCCTTCAATCAGGGTACCAATAGTTCCTAGACAAAGTTATAAAATAGGGCCAAGTGATTTCTTTATTACCCTGTGTTTCTCGACCTTAACTAGGCCCCTTGTTTCTGATGGGAATGCTTTTTGTCCTTCTAGCCAACTGTCTGTAATACTCCCATCTTTCATGCCCCTCTTTGCTGAAACCTTTCCCAAGCCCTCAAACCTACCACCGTCATTCTTTTTGCAGATGTCCTTGCCTCCTCTTTTACCAAGATGGAGATTATTAGGATTTGTTTAGTGTTTTTAGATTCTCAGCTTCTATATGTCTCTGAGTCACTGCTCGTTCATCTCTGCATTTCATGGAAGAGGAAGATGCAGTCTCCTCTTCGAGGTCTACTTCTCCACTTGTGTCTTTGATCTCATCATCCTGCTGTTTCATTTCTCGTGTCTCCTTTCTTTCCTGCATATCTTCTTTTTAAAAAAATTTCTGTATTTAATTGGAGGCTAATTACTTTACAATATTGTAGTAGTTTTTGCCATACATTGACATGAATCAGCCATGGGTGTACAAGTGTCCCCCCCATCCTGAAGCCCCCTCCCACCTCCCTCTCCATCCCATCCCTCAGGATCATCCCAGTGCACCAGCCCTGAACACCCTGTCT